AAGGAAAGGGCATTTCAGAAGGGGGCAAAATCATAAACAGAAGATTACAGATGTCAAAATGTGAGGTCCCTCGGGAAAAGACTGATAAAACTAGCTCATGTAGAGGAATGACAGATAAGGCTCTAAAGATTAGTAAGAGCCTTAGAGGCCATGCTAAGCTTCTGTTCTGAGCTGCAAGTAACTAGGAGTCCTTTAGGTAGCTAGAAATACAGGCCCAGGGGTAGAGGAGAGTGATCAGGATTGAAGCTAGAGGATTTGGGAACAAAATCCACATATGCAATAGGTGAAGTGAGGTCAGGCAGGGGGATCCAGAGACTGTGGGGCAGGGCCAGGCAGCAGATCTGAGCTAAGAGTCAGAATCTGGGCATAAGAGCCAGGTAACAGGTTGAGGCTGGAGATGGATGGTCCACAGTCTTCAGAGCTATGCTCCTAGGAACCACATGACCGTGAAATAAGCTCTCTGTGCTAAGAGAGTACCCATAGCAGACTGCAGAAGGTACAGGTAGGATGAACCTGGGCTCACTTCATCTGATAGAGTGGCACTTCTATCTTTTTTTACTTCATATCTCAAGTCAATCCAAGGACTGATGCACTGACATAGTCCATGCAAAGCCACTGTCCCCATTTTCAACTGGGCCTAGACAGAGAGACAGTGAGGGAACCAAGGGCAGCACTCTGCTCTAGGTCTGCGTTCCTACTGTCCCTCAAGCCCAGAGAAGCCCTAGATTGGCAGGCAAGGCAGCTGGATTTTTTTTTTTCTGGCTCTGTAAGTGATTAATTATGTGACAGTCAGCAGGATTCTAGACCTTTCTGGAATCCTGTTGTCCCATTTATGCATTGAGGGGTTAGAGATATGCTCTAAGGGTCTTTTCTGTTCTCCAGTCTCCATAGCAGTCAGCCAAGACTAATCTCCCTTGAATGATGGAGTTCTAGCAGACAAGAGGTCCCTCCAAAACCCTGTCCGTCAATCACATTTACCTTGAAATCCCTCCCTAGCTATAGCCTTCCAAGTAGTGTTGGCAGCAGCAAGCACATCCCCCAAAACACAGCCTGTCTCCTTCCCATTACCAGGGGAATTGCTCTCCCAGTAACAGGTACTGATCTGAGGTACCAGTGCTACTCCCAGGGCCCTGGAGAGCCAATTAAGGTGAGGAAACTGTTCATGAACTAAAAAGCCATCACGCTGATAGGGCTCCAGAGCTCCAGCTTCTGCACCTGCTGCACACCCAGCTCAGCCCAACTCAGCAGCCTGCCTTCCACTTGGAAAACTTGGGTCACTGCCCACAACAGATCCCACAATGGCTGCACACACTGTTCAGCACCTGGAGCAAGCAACAGCAGCCACCTCGCCTGCTAAGCTCCTATAACTGAGATCTTACCTGCTTGCCTCCCACTCTCACCCAGGCCATTAGAACCCCTCCAGCTGAGCTGCTCATTAAGATAAGTATCATTTCCCTCTCTGACTTCAAGGTTGTAGCATCTTGCATCAGGTCCCTCTCTTTGGATCTTCCCAAAGCCCCAGGGCCTGCCCACTGAGAGGCAGAGATTGCTCCCCCTTTCAGCATTTGTAGTTTTCAACAGATATGCTGTCACCGATCACTAGCTTCAGGAAGCATGAGGCTATGGTGGTTATTCAATGTCCCTGGAGGTCTTCAAGCGTAGTCCCAGAGAATACCTGGGATCACCCAGTCAATCAGTGCTAGAGTCCAGACCTAGCTCTAGGGCCAATGACCTCCAGACCAGGGCTCCTGCATCATTTACACTGACACTGGGAAAAGTAAGATACTAAACAGAGAGATTTTGAAATTTGGACTTCAGAATCAAGGTCTCTCATCTAAAATTTGTCTCTTAGTAGATTTGAAGGGAAAGAATAATGTTCCTTTTACTTACACGGGGAAGGAAATATCCAATTAATGCCTTTTCTCCCCTATAACAACAAATAGAAGTCCTGAGAATTTTGAAGACAGATACAGCATGCAGTAAACAGTTTCAGATATGCCAAATGCTCCTTCAGAGCTTGTTATATTTATTTAAAAAATCACTTGGGAACACAATGGCCAACTTTCCAGACAGAATTTGACCATGACAATTTTCAAACAGGCTTAAAAGCACGCAGTCCCAAGTAGATATTCTCATTGGCTGAGTAAATCCATTTCCAATATCCAGCCTTTCTGGAGCCTACTACTCTAGTCATCTCACATGGCTAAGACACTGTATGCTCAGTACACTACTTCCATTGCTTTGGTCCCCATCACTAGCTTTCCAAGACCTTGTCCATCTGGTCTCCTCAGAGCCCAAGACCTGATGCATATCCACTTCCTTGTGTGATGGAGGTGCTGGGGAGAACCTCAGCTAGGCTGTGGCTGCATTCACAAAAGATGTGCACCTGATGGCTCAGGCTGCAGGGTTGCTTTTCTCCTCAAAGATTCTCTATGGAGTCTCCTCATCAGTTCAGTGATTCCAGGTGAGCGTGGTTTCACCCCCTGAGAAAAGTGCTACCAATGCAGATTATAAGCTTTGAAGATGCGTGAACCTGAGTTTAATTTGACCTGACCTGACACTAAGTAGTTGTTAGATGTTAGATCTTACATAATCACAAACCCCAGGTTTTTCATCTGTAAAATGGGAATAATATCTACTTTACAGAGCTGTTGTGAAGTTTAGAAAAGATAATACAGGAATAAGTGCTCGGAACAATGTCTACCAACCACAAGGTGCTTGATAAATGTGTTTTGCACATCACACCTTGAGGAACAGAAAAAGGCAGTGTCATTACGGAAACTGCCAGCAACCAGGAGAAATAGATTTATGGAAATGGACTCACACTCATGCAATGTGGCCCCATCCAGTTAGAGGCATTGGGACCTATGTATTTTTCAGGCTTCTATCCACTTCCCCTACCAACCTTCTCTACCTGTTCCCATATTTGACTTTTGAAAACCCCAGATTGGCAGAAATAGGATAAGCGTTTAAGCAAGTATATACTCTTACTCTGCTGGATAAAGTGGCGATGCTACCAGCTCTTTCCAAAGAACCAGACTCCCAAAGCATGGCTTCTCAAATTACAGACCAGAAATTTAAGTTCAGGTATTGGGTATCTGACTAGACTTGCCAGGGACAGGTGACAGCTCTGTTTTTCATCAGTCAGCTCATTTGGGTGCCATTCTTTTAGTCCTTCAGAAACATTCAGTGAGCAATTGATATCCACCAGTCCTTGTGTAGGGAGAACTTCCCAGAGGTATTGCTCCTTTGCTTGAACTTTAAACCGTCTTCTCTTCACATTCTTACCACACTGTATCATTATCATCTGTTTAGTTACGTGCCCTTCAACAGAATATGAGTTCCTTGAAGGAAAAGGCCCTGTCTTTTCATCTTTGCACCCTAAATGCCATTGGGCCTGGTACACAAAAATCAATAAACACCTGTGAAGGAGACAGACTTACAAACCAACAAATACCACCCAGCAAAGAATCCTAAAACTTATTCCAATCTGACTCATAAATACGATATGGAAAGTAACAATAGCCTGGCCAGACCACAGGAAATATTAAAGAATGTAAGATGCCACATAGCCAAGAAATTGCCCCTCTGGTTTCAAATCAAGCATGTTCGCATCGAACAGATTTTTTTTCCACTTTAGTTTCACAAGTTCTAAATAACAGTATTTTTTCACATTTCTTGGCCTCTTACTGTAGCCTAGACATAGTACAGAATATTTTACGTGTATGTTCTCATTGAATCTTCATAACAATCCTAGAAGTTAATTATCACTATTATCATCCCTATTTTACAGGCAGAAAAATTTACCAAACTACACAACTATTAAGTGGCAGGTAGATTAGGACTCACACTCAGATGCCCAGATGAACTGACACCAAAGCTCGTTTTCTCCTTTGCACTTAGAATAACTCGGCAATAAACAATATGATTCTAATAACTGTCATTAGTATGAATATAGTCTTCTGATTTTAGAGTCAAACAAAGCCTTGAGACATGCACAATTAGTTCATGTTAAAAATCTTAAGTGAGACCGAAGACCTAAACATAAGGGTTAAAACTATAAAACTCTTAGAAGAAAACATAAGGGGAAAGCTTCATGACAATGGGTTTGGCAATAATTTCCCAGCTATGACACCAAAAGCACAAGCAACATCAGAAAAAATAGGTAAGTTGAACTTCATTAACATGTAAAACTTTCACTATGTTGATAGGACACTATCAACAAAACAAAAAGGCAGCCCAAAGAATGCGAGAAAATATCTGCAAAACATTTGTCTGACAAGGATCTAGTATCCAGAATATATAAAGGACTCATACAACTCAACGACAACAACCAACAACAACAGATTAAAAAATGGGCAAAACTGAAACTTTATACCATTAAACAATTCCCCAGCCTCTAGCAACCACCATTCTACTTTCTGTCTCTATAAATTTAGCTACTTTAGGTATCTGACATAAGTAGGATCATAGAGTATTTGTCTTTTTGCGACTGGCTTATTTCATTTAGCGTAACGTTCTTAATAGTCATTCATGTTGTACCATGTGTCAGAACTTCCTTCCTCATTAAGAGTGAATAGTATTCCATTGCACATGTATACCACATTTTGTTTATCCATTCTTTTGTCCAAGGACACTCAGGTTGTTTCCCTCTTTTGGCTATTGCATATAATGCTGCTGTGAACATAGGCATAAAAAATATCTCTTCTAGTCCCTGTTTTTAATTATTTGGGGTATATACCCAGAAGTGGAATTGCTCGTATTTCTACTTTTTAGTTTTTGAGGAACCACTATACTGTTTCCCACAGAGTCTGCACCATTGTATATTCCCATCAACAGTGCACATGATTCCAATTTCTCTACATCATCACAAACACTTATTATTTTCTTTTTTTTTTAATGGTAGCCATCCTAACAGATGTGAAGTGATATCTCATTGTGGTTTTGATGTGTATTTCCCTAAAAATTAGTGATATTAAACACTTTTTTTATATACTTACTGGGCATTTGGGTATCTTGTTTGGAGAAGTATCTATTCAAGTTCTTCGTCATTTTTTAATTGTGTTGTTTCTTATTGTTGAGTTGTAGGAGTTCTTCATATTTTCTGGATAATGATCCAACAGCACCAGAGCTTTTAAGACATATTTAAGATTCATCATATTTATAAATTTAACTTACTGTATTTCCAAGAGTTCTTTAGGTAATTAAGAATGCTTACTTGTTAGACAATTGAATTATTTTTAAAATTTCATTTATAAAGGCAAATATTCACTATTTGTAAATATGTTCAAATATTAATGAAAGGTCCTTTAAAAGTTATTGTTAAATTTGCTACACTTATCAATAGATTAAGATTTTAAGTTAAAATTAAAAGCTTAAGGAAGAACTAAGTTTAAGCAACAAATTCAAAAATCACTTATTAATTTTAAAAATCAAAGTAGACCATATCTTTTCCGTGCTTTGAACTCTTAACAGAGACTAAGAGAGGGTAGGTAGCTTGCCCAAGGGTTTAGAAGTCTCAAAATTCAGATCCAAAGACAACAGCAATGCCATAATGCCTCAAAGACAGCCTAGACTTGTGCTGCAAATCACTTTGAAAATATTGCAGACAACAAAACAAACAAAAAAGATGCTGTCTCTAAATGCTGCCAACTTATTTAGCTTTCTCATCCTACAAGTTCATTCAAGATACTCACTGCCCCTCTGTTACATGCCCTGTGCTACAATACTGAAATGAAGGGACCTGGTTTCTGTCTCCAAGGACTTCACAGTTCTCAATGAGATTGTTTCCTAGGAAACGTGACGTTCAGGAGCAAGACATAAGCTCCTCCCTGCCAAGGAGCAGCTTAGATGGTGAACGGTTCATTAGTCAGTAAGAATCTGTTCAAAATCTGTTCCTGACTGGCCCTAGGAGCCCAGCCATTCTCCCCTTGCCTCCAAAGTCTAGTGGGCCAGGACATGTCCTCTCCTTCTAGGTAGTCAGCCAAACCGGGAATCAAAACCTTCCCAGGTTTCTTAGTCTGACACCAAGGTAAGAAAATCCCAAACATGAAAAACCCCAGTTTACAAAACAAAATGTATTAAGCATCAAGAGGATTTGCTTTGTCTCACAGATTCATTCCCCAAAGAGCTGTCTTCAACAATGAATATCCCTTGGGCTTTTAAATTCTCATTCTTCCTACACCTGAAATTCTGTTCCTATGAAATGGGAAGAGACTTGTTATACAGAAGGAAATCAACCTGTGGTGCCTTGTAATTACCATCTGGGACAGTCCCATGAGCCTTGGTAACCTGCCCCAGCTCCTGGATCAAGCACTGGAAACAGTCTTTACAGAGCAAATGGTGACAGGGTAGGAGCCGGGAGCCTACATCTTCCAGGTCCTTTTGGCACAATGAGCAGATCAGTACTACAGCCTCCATCTGTCCACTTCTGTGTTCCTGGTCAACTAGTGGCCACCCCATAAAGCTCACGCCCATATCCGTGCCCATGTGTGTGCCCAGAACTGTGGCTTTTCCACTAATATCCTCAAGCGTGAAGCAGCGTATAGAGTGAGCAAGCTCCACTTCCTGTAAGTGAAGCACAAAGCAGAGTGGTTTCTTTCTTTTGGAACAGGGGTGTTAATGGACAGGCCAGAGGAGACTCAGAGACCAAGGCCTCAGAAGCCCAGGCTACATCCCTCCCCAGAACTGGAGGCTCATGCTCCATAACTGGGCACAGACTCAACCTCTCACTTGGGCCCAAAAGAGAGTCCAGCATCTCTGCTTGGGAAACAAAGCCTGGAGGGGTCTGCTAGGTTGTGTGTTTCTTATAGGGTTGGTTTGCCTTCAAAATCATCCCAGGATCTACTTGTGCCTCTCTTTACTAGACTTCATTTTGGAAAAGAGAAGGAAATTTATCAAAGGCCAAGTTTATGCCAGGTGCTTTATATACTTTATCTCCATCCTTAAAATTGCCCTTGGAGATAGGGATTGTGATACTTTTACAAATTAAATAAAATCATCAAAGACAGGCAGAGAAAACTGAGGCTCAGCAAAGCTGGGTAACTGCACGAAGACAGGGAGTAAACAGTAGAGTTCAAATTCCAATTTAAATCCAAATTGTTCTGATTATACACTTCACAATCTTAACTGAAATATTTCTCAAGCTGAGGTACACACACATGTTCTCATGAGATCTCTCCAACAATTTTTTTAAATTAATGTTTCATTCTGACAAGAGTTTTTTAAAGTATAAATATTCTGGATCATCTATGCACCATGATGAGATTTTAGAAGCAGTGTTATAAGTTTAGGTTCCAGTTCACACCAAGCAGCACTACTTTGTCTTAGGCTAATGAGAAGAGAAAGGAGCAGACAATACGTAAATGATGCATTTCTGCCACATGAAGTCTAAATGACACTGTGGTACATGATGATGAATGTTTCATAGTACTTGGAATAGACAAAGGTGGTGGGGAAATTGGGCCACCATCATGGCAGCAAAAGTTTACCAAACTTCAGCCACAACAGGAAGCACCTCACTTAAGCTGTAGTGACAATTTCGTTTAGCAACATATCATCTGCAAATGAAATTAATATTGTTAATTTGATTGTTTTGGTTTTTTATAATTTATAAACTGTATTTGATTTGGTCATTGTATAACAGCAGAAGGAGAGTATCTAGTTTTATATTTGTACTTATTTAAGAAACAAAACAAAAATCATTTACTTCAAATCCAAAGCTCTGTAATTATGCAAATTTGAGAGAACTTTCACTTCAGTCCACAGTCTTTGGGGGCCAAGCCCATTAAGGAAAAAGGGTGATGGGGTTGAGAAAGGCCAGGCTTCCTGGGCCCAGAAAGATGTCACTAAATAAAGTAATGGATGAGCTTTCACTTCTAATTCATTCTGAGGCTCTAAGGGCAGTTATTTTCCTGGGAGCAGCCATAGAAGAAGCCCCAGTGGAGGTGAGGGCAGTCTCTCTTAGAAGGTTTAAATGTGGCTGAGTTTATTTCATTAGACTTTGAGAATATCAAACTTTTTAGTCTTAGAACCCTTTACATGCTTTAATTATTGAGGACCCCAAAGAGATTTTGTCTTTGTGGGTTTTATCTCTGCCATTTACCACATTATAAATTAAAACAGATAATCTTAAAATATTAATTCATTAAAAAAATCAATAAACCTATTTCAAGTCAACATGAATAAAAACACTTTTCAGGAGAAGTTAATTACTTTCAAATAATAAATTTAGTGAGAAGAGTGATATTGTTTTTCCCTTTTGGCCAACCTCATTAATGTCTGGCTTAACAGAAGACAGCTGGCTTCCCATACTGCTTCTGCAGTCAACCCGTTACATGCTGTTTGTTTATAGTATTTACACATCTTTGCTTTTGCTTTGGCACCATCAGCGCAAATGTTAACCCAGTTAAAAGGCCCAATAACATATTAGTATTACTATGAAAACTGTTTCGACCTTGTAGAATCCGTGAAAGGGTCTCAGGGAACCCCCACAGGGGTTCTGTGTTCTTTCCACTAATTTTATCATCTGAAATTAAGTGAAAACCCCAATGTTTAAGCCCCTCTTTGTTGAGCTATTGCAAATACTGCCCTCAAAGATCTGCCCTTCCTGCCCTCACATTTTGCTATTCTGAGTTTAACGGCAGAAGGGCTTTCCAGCCTAGGCTGCAACAAAGCTGCTAGAAATGCACTTGCCATGCAGTACCGTGAGATTTTTAAAAATCTATCCAACACAGAAAGGAAGGACACCTAGTCCTCAAATTACATTATTTTTACCTTGTACTTAAGAAAACCCTGTGTGGTCCCATGGATTTTCCCCTAAATGCCACATTGTCATATACCAAAAACTACTGATAAAAGGAAAAACAAAACACACAAACAAACAAAAAAACCCTGGAGCCTGGTATAGTTGAAATTGGAAACTATACATGCTGCTGGTACATAAATTGGTACAAACCATTTGGAGAAAGTATACCTATAGCAACATAAAATGAATCATAAAAATGTTCATATGCTCTAATACAGCAATCTCGCTCCTGGGAATTTATCCTAGTGAAGTTATTCAACAGAGGAAGAAAAAAGCTACATATACACAAATGTTCACTCCATCATTTTCTCCAATAGCAAAGAACACAATGAGAACAACAGAAAAATGAAAACAAAGTACACGAGAAAATGGCTTAGTAAATTACAGTTTGTGCTGAAGATAAGTTACTCTTCAGTTGCTAAAAAATAACAATCATGAATACTGGGTAGTGACACAGAAAAATGTCGTAGTAGTAAATGAAAAGCAGAATACAAAAGGATTAGTATTATCATCATCAGCTTTGCAGATCACTATGTCTCCATGTAGTAAAAACTGAAAGGTAATATTCAGACTTGAAAACAGCATTGTAGGGTATTATGATTTGAGATGTTTATACTTACATTTTTTTCAAAATTTTCCTTCATGTTTTACTGTCTTTCCTAATACACACAACTTTTAAAATTTTCTGAAATAAATTGGATTTCTGAGTTTTTCTTGAATTCTCCCTTGGGGAAGAAAAAAAAAAAGACACCCAGACTCTTCCCCATCTTAAATTAACAATCCTCTACTTGAAAAAGGAAAGCCACATAATATTTCCAAATGTCCAAATCTAAAGATGGAGAGCAAGAAAACAAGGCAGGAAGCACCCATGCTGTTGCTGCTGTCTGACAGACAGCTGATGAACTCAGGAACCCTTCCATTCAAATGGATGGCCTGAGGGATAGGATGTAGCTCCTCTATAACCGAGGAACCTAATAAAACTATCCAGAAGCAGTGTCCCATCACCCAGACCCTACCGCAATGCCCAGGGAGCAGAGGAAGAGACAGGGACCACCAGAGCCCTCTGTGGGGTGGCAGTGTGTTCACAAGGCCATCTGGAGAGAGGGCTGAGGTAGTAATAAGGTCCACACTGCATATACCTGCCTCACCAGGCGCTTCCTGGCATCATCTCCCTTCCATTCATTTCACAGGCATTTTCTGAGGCCCTGACTCTAGGGGAACCTGGATTTCTGAGATGTCACAAGGCCATGCTCTACTTCAAAAGAGATGTCACAGAGGAAGAGGCCTCTTGGGTCATGTTTAGGATCATGCCCTGTGTGCCTAGTGGGGAGGGACAGGTGGCCTAATGTCTCATATCTGGCTGCTACTCAACTTTATAGACATAGAATTCAACTCTCCCAGGGCTGGCTGACCTAGGGACACTGACCCACAGTGACAAACCCCACAGGAGCCTTATGTTAAAGCTACATGAATGCTTTGGGAAGAAGAGGAAGCCGGCTAGAAAACCAGAGCCAATCGTCCAGGGCACTCCCCCTACCTGGTGATCAAACCACCAACGAGAAAAATGTTAGGTGAGCACAGAACCCAACGCAGAGTTCTGGTCTGCTCAGGGGGCCTTCCATTCAGCTGGATGGCCTGAGGGATGGGATGTAGAGCCGCTATAACCAGGGAACCTGATAAAACTATCTAGAAGCAGTGTCCCATCACCCAGACCTCCACACCCTGCACAGTCTTGGTCCTTGCTCTAGTCCCTATTTACCAGACACCTGATGGTGACCTTTCATTCCCACAACTCTGCCCAGGTTACCTCCATTCACAGTCCATCTTCTCAAGGGTAGTTTCCAGGCAACTCAGCTCATCACTTGTGCACTTACTGGCCAGTTTTGATGTCCAGTGGAGGATGATCTCTTCCTAGGCCTTGCCCCCCACACTCAAGGCCCCTCTTTCTGCTGGTAACAGGCAGTCTGTGATTAAGGATTGAAGGAGTGATAAAGACCATAATGCTGTGAGGTCAGAGAGGGAGTGGTCACTGAGGTAAAAGCAGGAGATCTGGAGAGAAAAGATTAAAGGCGAGGCCCAGGCTCTGTCTCTTAGCAGCTCCATAGTCTCTGGTAAGCCAGTCAGCCTTCTGTGCCTCAATTCTCTCCTTCATAAAATGGGGCTGGTAGTGTTGATCTCTTAGGCAGATGCATTTTGTAAACTGCAAGGTGTATTTGGCTATTATCACTGTAGACTGGAATGTTCTGGGAAGAAGCAGAATATAAGGGAGGACTTAAGGGTTGAGGATGATTCAGAACTTCTGGTCAGGAAGATGAGTACTGCAGGTATGAGGAATGGGACTAGCACAGGCAAAAAGGTAGAAGGGATGTGTCAAGTGTGGCTGTAGTAGAAAGCTTGAAGCTGAGATTAGTTTGGAAAGGCAAGTGGGCTGCATTCTGTTAATAATAGGGAGCAACTGAACTTTTTGATCAAGTAAGTAAAAGGATGAAAGACATGTTTTGTGAGGATTAACCTGGCAGAAGTGTGAAGGGTGGGGGGTTTGGAGGAGGGTTAGAATGCAGACAGGGTGAGCAGAGGACGGTGCTGAACTCCAGATAAGAGATATGATGAGGGCCTTAATGAAGGCAGTGACAAGAGGGCTAAAAAGGAGGAAGCAGATTTAGGAGATAGGGATAGAAACAAGGATATGGTGACAGTGTATTAAGAGCAAAAGAATGCTTAGGGACAATTTCCAAGTTTCCCTAACATGACTATGTAGGTGGACAAGAGTACTCACCAAAATAGAGAATAAAGATGGCACTAGTGAGCTGGGAAGATCAAAGTCTTTGGATATGTCTATCCAGTTTGTCTTAGAATGTCCAATGGATGCTAACCGGAAATTAAGTAAATATGAGTGTGGAGCTCAGAAACAGAGATGTGGATTGAAGCCACCCAAGATGAGTTCACCCAAGAAGACTGTGTACTATGAAGAGTCAAGAGGGGCAAGGACAGAAGGCTGAAGAACACCAACATTTATACAGTGGACAAAGTCAGAAGAACCTGAAAGGAAGACCGAGAAGTAGCCAGAAAGATAAGAGAAAGGCAAGAGATTCTTTAGAAGTCAAATGAGTAAAGTACAACAGAAAGTAAGTGGTATGAGGAAAAGGAAGAGCCCACCCAATTTCTTGTTTGATTAATTGATGACTTTGGTAAGAGCAATTTCATTGAAATAATGGGGCTGAGAGCTAGATTGCAGTGGATGAAACAATGGGAAGCAAGCAAACGGACAGGATTTGTACACTATGCTTTTGGGGAGCTTGGCTGAAAAGGAAAGAGCAAGGATAGTAAACAGAGACAAGGACAATTTAGAATATTTTAGCTGAAGGGAACAAGGCATAGACAACAAACACACTGGATGATTGACGGGATGTGATCTTGAACACTGGTTAAGGCTTAAGACAGGAAGGATGCCTCTTCCACTTTAGAAAGGGAGGTGAGGGTGATGCTCTCATTAACTTAGTGATCATTTGTTGACTATGTACTACATGCCAGGAACTGGCAGTGCACGGATAAAAGAACCCTCCAGCCTTTAAGGAATCTGGTATAGGAAAGACAAAAGCGGATCAACAATCATATAACAGCTATCTACTAGATTTTGAAGTGGCACAGTGGGTGAAAGTGGGTGAAACTTTGACTGAATAAGTCAGAGAAGTTTTACAAGAGGAGACGCTTGCATTTAGTCCAGGTTGAGCACGAATTCTCTGGCCCAGGAGAAGGGGGTCACGGGCGTGCCAAGTTAAATTCCAGTGAAAATTAACATGTGGCGAGTAGCAAATTTACGGGGTCTGGAGAATAAAGGACCTTAAAGCAAACAGGCGTTGAGGTCCCTGAACTGAGGTTGTTCAAACACGATGTCCAGAACGATGGCAGTGTCAGCGAGCAGTTCCCGGAGGGTGGTAGAGAGCTCTAGGAAGGACTTTAAAGGGAGCAGTGCGGTCACTGAGGGTCAAAAAGTGCTTCGCGATTCTTCACTGCGGCCAGGGGACAAGCAAGCCACCGGTGCCGCCCCGACCGAGCCGACCACCAAGAACAGACACGCGGCGGGCTGTTCAGGGCTGCCGCGGCTGGTGGTGAGCTGGACCATGGCGCCCGGGAGAGAGCAAGGCCTAACTGAGCCGAGCGTCATGCACCACAGCGCCCCAAGCCCCACCTTCCGGGACTGCGCTCCGCCTGAGCCCAAGCAGACGCCAGACTGCACGAAAAACGACTCTCGCAGCTACAGCCCCCGGAACAGCTCTGTGACGGCGACATCAAGCCGCAGGAAGAGGAAGTGGCAAGGCTCCCAGCATCGCGAGAGCCGTGACCCCAAAGAAGCCCCGCCCGAAGCCCGGCCTCCGCGGCAGGAAGTGAGGCGTTGGCTCCGCCCCCGTCCTCGATAGCTCGCGAGACTTTGCCGAGGCTTTCCTCTTTCTTTTCGGCCGTCGACATGGTAGGTGATTCTCCTCGTGTGTCTATGTCATTGCTGGCGCAGGCCGCAAACGTTCTCACCCTGACTCCAGTCTGCTACTGCCGATCTTGGCCCGGTCTTCCGGGCTGTGCACGGCCAGCCTCAGGGCGGGGTGGCCGGCGTGTGCCCGGGGCGGGGCAGGGAGCCTGTAGCCGCGTGTTCGTCCCGCAGTTCGGATTCTTCAGACGCGCTGGCAAGGGCGCCTCCCTGATGAGGCCTCGCGGCCCCGGGCCAGGCCGTAACCTCAACTTTGCTGGAGGTGCCACAGAACAGATCCTTGACCCCCAGGCCCACAGCCCCTTCCAGACTGGCAAGCTTCGCCCCCTGCTCCAGCTCCCTTGGGCCTTATAAATTAAGCACCTTTTTCTCATACAGCCATCCAGACTAAGGAAGACCCGGAAACTTAGGGGCCACGTGAGCCACGGCCACGGCCGCATCGGTAAGTGCTGCCTTCCCATCCTGGTCGGCCTTGGGCTATCCCTGCCGGGTGCTACTTAGTCGGGAAGGAGGTAGCTTATAGAAGTGGGTTGGTGAGAGTTCTGTGTCATCGAGTCGGGTTGAATGTGATCATTAGCTGTGGTTAATGCTCCTGTGTCAGAATTTCACATAAGTTGGGGGGATGAAAATTGAGCGGGGCCCAGTATTGAAATGGTTGAAGGCATAAAATGAAGTACTGTGTTAGTGTTGTGTTTAACCTAGAGTCTTGAACAGCACTGTTGGAAGACGTAGACTGGTAACAGTATAAGCAGAGGCACAGAATTATGGTGAAATACTTTTGCCGGAAGTAATATTGAGGGGCTGCAGAAGGCTGTCTTAGCCATGTAGCTTTGTGTTACTGCAGGCAAACACCGGAAGCATCCGGGAGGCCGGGGTAATGCTGGTGGCATGCATCACCACAGGATCAACTTCGACAAATAGTGAGTGGTTTTGGGCTGCTTTTACTGACACTGACCCCTTTGGATTTAGGGACAGAAGGTGGCTAAGAACATCTTCAATGGGGAGCAAGCCTCTTACCAACCCAAAACCTTACCGGTTACTGGCTTTTATCAAGTTAATATTTGACGTCAACTGAGAGAACTTGTCATCGAGGCTAGAGTCACGCTTGGGTATCAGCTATTGCCTTAGTGTGCTAGAGTCCTCGAAGAGTAGCTGCTAACCTTATTCACTGGCTGTGGCCTTCATGGCATAGTCAGTCACCAGGTTAGTGACATGCATCAGATTGACTAACACAACTGATAGGTTCACTTACGTCCACAAATTAGGGAGATGATATTTTAACTACCTGTTTAGGGAGAGCTCTGTTACAGGAGTATGTGGAAACTAAGTGATCTGAATTCTAGTCTTGGTCCTGCCTCTTGACTTTCTCAGTAGTTCATTCTGGTTCCATGAAATAAAGCTAATCTTTTCCTCTTGATAGTCTTTGGTTGTGTCTTAAAGATTTGTTTTATTTAACAAACTAATGGCGTACCTGCTGTGTCACTCTCCTGCGCCAGTGAACAACTTACACTGTAATGGGGGGGTGGACTATAAAGATGATAAACATAGCTTTTGAGCTGTAGTGAGGTAATGAAAATGATTGCTTTCTCTTCCCAGTCACCCAGGATACTTTGGGAAAGTTGGTATGAGGCATTACCACTTAAAGAGGAACCAAAGCTTCTGCCCAACTGTCAACCTTGATAAATTATGGACCTTGGTCAGTGAGCAGACACGGGTAAATGCTGCCAAGAACAAGACTGGAGCTGCTCCTATCATTGATGTGGTGCGATCGGTGAGTGAATTGAACATTATTTGCCTATAAATGGGCCCCTGCCTCTCAAAACTCTGGGTAATCTAGCCTACTCGATCTCCCACCTGAAGTCTATACCCAGCTACCTACTAGATAATTCCACCTTTTGGTAGAATTTCCACAGGTGATTCACTGACCATAATTGAACTCTTGTTTAATTGTGATTGAGGCAGAATGTCTGAAGAGTGATCCTTACACTCATTCATTTACTTCATTTTCACTTGAATGTTCTTCCAGACAGTTTCTTATTCCTACCGTCAGTGTCCTGATTTGTACAGGTTACTCACCTAAACTGGTGGCAGTAACTTAGGCCAGCCGGTTCTGGTCTGTTTTATGCAGGACTACATGAAGCACAGTTCTTGACCCTCCACGTTTCTTACAGAATAAAATCCTAATATGTTCAATTCTTATTTAAGGCCCTATATTATCTGAAGAGATTCCCACCCCCCTACTCCAAAATAAGCTTTTTTGTATATCGTTAAGAGTTCTAATCGTTTTGTCAGCCTTACCACCCATGAGTAAGTAGGAAGGTAGTCAACGCTGAGGAGACATCAGTAAAGTTTTAGAATCCCCCTTCTCAGCTTAGTTAACATTCTTTAAGCAGTTCTGATGGTCAGGACTTCTTTGAACATTGCTGGAAATGTGATTTTCTTTTTCTGCTTGTCAGGTGGTGAATGAATAAGAGAAAGGGGTTTGAACTTTTCCCGAGACTAGAGTCACATCCTGACAGCTTTTGTCCTGGTGTGCTAGAGTCCTCGGAGAGAATCTGCTGGTCTTGATTCACTGGCGAGGGCAGTCAGTGCCCCCGTGAGTGCCCAGATCAGAAACATACTCTCCCTGGCTCCTAGATGGAGTGGGTTGGCAGGCATCTTCATACCCATCATAGAGTTGGTGACAGCCAAGGTGCATTATAAACCCTTTTCTCTGTTCTTCTAGGGCTACTACAAAGTTCTGGGGAAGGGAAAGCTTCCTAAGCAGCCTGTCATCGTGAAGGCCAAATTCTTCAGCAGAAGAGCTGAGGAGAAGATTAAGGGTGTGGGTGGTGCCTGTGTCCTGGTAGCTTGAAGCCACATGGTGGAGGATTCATTAAATGTTATCAAGTGCTTTTCTCTTCTGGTCTGAGTGTAGGTTCTTTGGTACCTATTCCTCCCTACCTATACATCAGAAACCCACCTACCAGGTTCTAGGAGTAAGGGTATGAGGACCTGGGCACCTCTGCCACCCTCAGAAAGTATGGAAGAGATAGCACCAACACTTAGAGGCCTTGGCTGGTTACCTAATTTGAGCCTTTTCACTTACAAAGTGAGAATGATACTTGTTGATAATGTGTATACCTTAACAGTTGAAAGGCCTATTGGCTTTGTATGCTCTGAATTTACAATGAGTAGGAGAGAGTGTCCTTCAGTATTCCATGGGGCTCAAAGGAGAGGAACTCAGTTTTGAGGAGGCATGAGCTTTACAAGATTTTGATGGGTCACAGTTGGAAAGAGGGAGTGGTGATGTGATAGAAGTTTCCTTTGGAACTTAATTCCTCAATCTAGGGTTCTTCCACCTGGCTTCTTCATCTCAGACCAAAACCATTGGTCAATCAGAATGTTGCAATGGGTCCAGCATTGTGAGGGCTTTTACACATCAGAGTGGTTTGGATTCTAGAAAGTAGTTGTCAGGACTTAACGTATCTGGGCATAGGAGTCTTAATGTTAAAAAAAAATCATGAAATGTTAATAATTTTGCTTTATTAGTCTGAAATTTACCTAGAGGAATTTGGGAAATGCAGAAACCGGAATCGGGTTTTCTAGGGTTTTGTATTCTGCAAACCTGTGAAGACAACCAGGGCTTATGTGCAGATAGCACCCCCTTAGATAATCTTAAATTGTAATTCGCTATTGTTTTATGGTTCTTCCCAAGATTTTGAGTTTTTTGACCCAAAATAAAACTTGCAGTCTAGAACCCTGGCCAAAGAAATAGTTAAAATGGCGCTTAAGTCTAATGAAAACTACTACCAGGTTTAGTTGTTTCCATGGAGGGTTTCCGTGTTGCTCAGTGGGATCATAAGTGGGGTTAGGAACCATCACTCTATGGGACTAACGTGTCGTGACAGCCTTTGGAAGATACTGGGGATGATCAAATAATAGGAAGCACTGGGAGGAAACATAATTGACAATACTGGAGAGTTAAAAAGTGTCAGGAAGACACTCAGTTGGATAATTGAATTATTTACATCTTCCACATTGGTGCTGATGGAGAAAGGTAAAAATGGGTATCCTTTTGATGTCTTTTGGAGGACTTACGTGGAAGTTGAGACTGGATTTCCAACAGGTGGTCAGTAGTTGATAGTTAAAAGACAGTTTAATGTTTGATACCTACTAGACTCAAAGTGTAGACATACAAAATACAGTGTCTTAAGATTCAGGCCACATTTGAAATTTAGATCCGAACCTAACAGCTGTGTGACGCTTAGTCCAATTTTCTTATTTTTAAATTTAGGTAAAGGTACCTATGAGGGTTGTGTGGATCACGTGAAATGGAAAGCATTTACTAAATTTTTGTTTGGCTCTTAGTAACTGGCATGTGAGTGAACTATTACAGGAGCAGGCAAGTCAATTAACCTTGGTGTGCTTCAGTCAGTTGGAAAATGGTCTAACCAGTAGGAAGAGCAAACATGTTTAAGAAACCCAATTTGGAAAGATTAGGCAAATTGGGAGGTATTAGGTGGGAGATGAACCTGGAGAGAACAGGTACTCAGACCAGGTTGTAGTTGAAGCACAATGCTACAGAGGGAGGCTGGAGGCAGGACTTTGAGGGTGTAAGAGAAGTAAGACTGAGAAAACAAAGGTAACAGGACTTGGTGACTGAATTCGAGGTGGGACTGGCAGCAAAATAGGGTTTAGAGGAGGATAGTTGGCCAGTAGGAGATAGTTGGTGGTCTTCAATTATTTGTTCGCTACCTTTAAAATAATTGTGGGAAATGTTAGGTTAACGGTTAAATTTTCTATAAGCTTGAATTGCTAAGGATATTTCTAACCTAATGTATCTGTGCTTTAAATACATGTTCATTCAAACAGCGGAGCTTCAGCAGTAACTTCCAATTTATGGGCAATGTCCGCCACATAACTTGCAAATTACGTCATTGGCACCGAAACCAGCTAAACAGGATTTAAGTTTTAAATTCAAATAAGTAGATTTCCATTCGATGGCTAACTAGCCCGGGAGCAGCCAGCCCCCGGGAGGAAAAGCAGCCAAAGTCTTGCAGCGCTAGCGGAAGCGGTGCAGGGCGCGCCTACTCTAGGGGGCGGGAGGCTACGAGATCAAGCTCCCGCAGCTGCTCTCTTCCCCGCCCTTGAGAGCCACTTCCGGGGTCCTGAGGTTCTGCTTCCGTCGTCAGACCTCCCTCACCCCATCCCACAGCTGGAAGCACGGTCGGCCCCGGCTCCATTTCCGGCAGAGGGTGGAGTCGTCCCGTGTCGCTCAGCGGAGAAACTCCCGGATAAGGCGGGAGGTTTAACCCAGCCCTGGTCCGGTCCCAGTGCGGCGTGGGTAAGCACTCTGAGCGGGGGTGCCGGCCTCGCCGTACTTCAAGTCCTGCTTCGGCCGCGCGGAAGAACGTGAGACGCGGTCTTTCTGTGCACTTTCAAGATGGGAATTTCCAGACCGCTCAGAATTAACTTCGTTTACGTTGTCTCAAAGATAATGAGTGCCAGCTGTGTTCGAGGTACTTTGGCCTAAAAAAAAAAATGCTTGTACGCGCATGGGAAAGTTGTGGAAGAAAACCCAAAGAACGGATTTCTGTGCAGCATTGATGGTATAGTGGTGAGCATAGCTGCTTTCCAAGGAACGGGTTTCCTCATGAGTTTTGGGAGTTGAGGGAGATGGGTGCTTTGGTAGTCTGAGCTTGTTTAACCAAATGTGTATTACTTTCATACTAAAACGCAATATAAATGGACGAAAATAACTAGAAATAGTTGTTGGTAGTTTGTCAGTGCTGAAAAGTAATATTTTCTCTTATTCTAGAGCTTTCATGACTTTTTAAATTACACCCACCCCCAACCTCAAAGGCAAATAAATGTGAGATATTTTGGAATGCTTACTACCACATTATGTAGCTCAAGAAACTAATTTTGTATGTCACCCCTAGTAAGTAGCATACTAAGAATATAGGTTAAAGTGTTATCTTTAATTTCTGACTCCATTTTGCCTCCCAATTTTTACTTTACTTTCGTTTCCACTTTAAAGTTGGGTTTTTAAAAATACCCTATTTTTGTATCTTATAAATCAGTCATTTGGAATACAAGGAGGGTTATAAGTCTATTTGTGAAATAAAGGGTATTATTTTTAAACAAAATTTAAACTGAGCTATGATTATAATTAGAGTAATTTTCTTGGAGCCCTAATTCCGCAGACCATCCAATGTGAACCATAGCTGGAATAATATGCTTTCCAAGGGCACTCCAAAATACTGCCTTTAAAAAATCCAGACTTCTCATTTCAACACTGTAGTTTACCAAAGCATGGTTACTGAGAAGAGCATTTAGAAAGATGTAATAATGGCACAGCCTGCCCTGCTCTAAAAGTTACCAGACTGATTAGAGGAGAAAACTCAGGGCTTTTCTTAAGTCCAGAATGGAGGAGGGCTGACACCACAGACACTGGGACTTCTGGTAGATAAGATAGCATTTCCTTGCTCTGAGCAACTGCCCTGGGTTGTCAGAAAGGCATTAAGGACACTTGTTTTCAATAGTGGCAGTACCATCCTCTAAGGGAGCGTTTTTTTGTCTCTCACAATCCTGGAAGGGAAGCAATCCGGGATGCTAGATGTCCTGCAATGTATGGGTTGACTCTAAAGTGCAAAGAAAAAAGTAGCTTAGAACAGACCTAACTTATTTTTACGCACAAAATCAAAAAGGGTTTGTGTTTTTTTGCAGTTTTCACATACTTCTGTTTTCCAGGATTGCAATTATTGGGTTCTTTTGTTTTTTTAATTGAAGTATAGTCAGTTACAGTGTTAAATTTCTGATGTACAGCACAATGTCCCAGTCATGAATATACATACATATATTCATTTTCATATTTTTTCATTATAGGTTCTTAGAAGATACTGAATATAGTTCCCTGTGCTAAACAGAAGAAATTTGTTTATCAATTTTTAAAATGTATTTTTATATATAGTGGCTAACGTTTGCAAATCTCAAAACTCCCAAATTTATCCTGTTGCAACCCCTTTCCCGGGGTAACCATAATATTGTTTACTATATCTGCAAGTCTGCTTATGTTTTGTAGATGAGTTCAGTAGTGTCCTCTTTTTTTATTGTTTTAGATACCACATGAGTGATATATGGTATTTTTCTTTCTCTTTTTGGCTTACTTCACTTAGAATGATGATCTCTACGGCCATCCATGTTGCTGCAAATGGCATTTTATTTTTTATGGTTGAGTAGTATTCCATTATATATGTGTATGTGTGTGTGTGTATATATATATATTCCAGTATATACACAGTTGTATATATATACAACTTCTTGATCCAGTCATCTGGTGATGGACATTTAGGTTGCTTCCATGTCTTGGCTATTGTATATAGTGCTGCTGCGAACATTGAGGTGCAAGTATCTTTTCAAATTAGAGTTCCCTCCAGATATATGCCTAGGGGTGAGATTGCTGGATCATATGGTAAGTCTATTTTAATTTTTTTGAGGAATCTCCAGTTTTCCATAATGGCCTTACCAAACTACATTCCCACCAGCAGTGTAGGGGGGTTCCCTTTTCTCCACACCCTCTCCAGCATTTATTGTTTGTGGACTTTTGAGTGATAGCCATTCTGACTGGTGTAAGGTGAAAACTCACTGTAGTTTTGACTTGCATTTCTCTGATAATTAGTGATAGAAAGCATTTTTCATGTGCCTATTGGCCATTTTTATGTCTTCATTGGAGAATTTCTTGTGTAGGTCTTCTGCCCATTTTTGGATTGGACTGTTTTTTTATTAAGTTGTATGAGCTGTTTACATACTCTGGAAATTAAGCCTTTATCAGCTGCAGCATTTGTAAATATTTTCTCCCATTCCATAGGTTGTCATTTTGTTTTACTTATGGTTTCCTTTGCTATGCAAAAGCTTATAAGTTTAATTGGGTCCTGTTTGTTTTTTGCTTTTATTTCTGTTGCCTGGGTAGACTGCCCCAGGAGAACATTCCTAAGATTTATGTCAGAGAATGTTTGGCCTATGTTTTCTTCTGA